CCGCGGTGATAGGAAGGAAAAAAGAGGTGAAAGAAGATGGGAAATGTGTCCCGCTCTCATACCCTTTATAATGGGTCCCACTCTCATACCCTTTATAATGGGTCCCGCTCTCATACCCTAACTGCTTGAGCTGCGGGTATTTGAGTCCTGGAAGCCCACCCGTGGGAAGTATCCGTATTCATTCTGCCCGTTTGATGTTGCTGAGCAGAAATTTGTACCAGGCACAGTGAGAGCTGCCAGCCTGTTTCCCAGCGTGCTTTCTACACGGAGCAAATTACAGCATAAACGTCAGTGGGCAAAGTTGCCAGGTGCTCTTTCCTCCCTTTTGAAGGGATATGGTCCTGACCAGGGTTTCACCTAGAATCCATACAAATTAAGATACCTGGCCACAGAAACTAGTAGGGAAACTAGTTGATTTCAGTGGTCTTTGCAACATAAAGACAAAACCTCTGAGAAAACACCCGACTGAACGTCGGCATCAAAAACACGCAGGCAGGCTGTCTCTGGGCATGCATGTATGTAAGACATTGCTCAATATTCCAAGGAATCAGCAGCAGTGAGAGTTTTACCGCAGTAAACAGCCTTTGTGACCTAAATTACATGTGTATGTGCTTGCTGTATGGGGAATACAGAACAGCCTTACTGCAATCCAACTGTAACTTGTGTGTATGCACAATCTGTTTAACACATTGAATTGTAGTTGCAACCACCAGATCTTGAGCACATTCGTTCTTAAACTTCTGCACTGATTTATAAACAGGCAGATAAAAATTGGCCTTTCATTCATTCATTCTTAGAAATCAAGTAAAGAATCAACCTTTTGACCTACTCCCCTCAAAAGCTGTGACATTTTGGCCTGGATAAGGCAGATACTGCTCGTCCCATCCTGTGAGTGTCTCAAAAGTTAACGGGTGCCTACAGGAGGGCTGGCAGCAAGGTGGGGCCATCCTTTACAGCTGTTTCCCTGGGATCAACCATGACTACAATGATCATCACAAACTAACTTACTCCTCATTTCTTCCTACCAGGAGTTTGTCATTATTTAGCTCTGTTCACAGCCATACCTGTAATCTAGATGGCTGCTTTACCAGTGTTGTACCTTTTTCCAGAGGTGACAAAATGCTGAAGAGCTCTGGGTCCTGCCAGTGTTCCATCCTACAACACATATTTTCCTGAGCTGAGGCCCAGGGAAGCTTGAAGGAATGGGCCTGGAAGTATCTCTAGAAAGGCCCTGGATCTGTTTGCAGTTTTGCTTGCTACCACCAAAGAGTGAAACAGAGTTGAAATTCTGCCCAAGGAGCCAGGAGAGTGCTTACCTAAGCCATGCCTATGCACAGAGAAAAACATGACATGACATTCCATGCTCTAAAGTGATCTGCAGAACTACCTTAGTGGCTTAGTGGAGGTTCAAAACAGATGGTTTAACACTGCATAACTAAAATAAAATTATTATTTCAGTGTGAAATGCAAAGGCTCCACCTCAATCCCCATCAAAACTGTAGATTTCAAAATAAACCAGAATTTAATTGATTTTCTTTAATCTCTGCACAGACTTCACTCCTGTGCCCTCCTGACATATATAGATATGTGTTCACACTGAAAAAGATCAACAGTACACTCATGCACACACAAACACATCCTCACCTATAAACACACCAGTATTTCTTTCTCTCTCACACGGACCCCCAGACACGACTTTCTGACACATCCACCCTCCTCCCAACACAGCTCCACACACTCCAGCACTAGGCAGGGTTGCTGCCTGCCAGCAGGCCTGGGGGATCCAGGCAGGCTCCCACAGCCATCCCAGCCCAGCCCAAGTCCTCTGGGACAGATCATTGCCATCACAGCTCATCTGGCGTCTGCACTCCTGTGTGGGTCTTGACAGTAGCATCATGGGCTTATATGCCTTTGCTCCTGAGCTCATAATTTGGGAGTCAGAAATAAAACAAAAACCAAAATGAAGTCCTGGTTCATACAGCAGCGTGCAGGTCACAGGTCCTGTTAAACACTGCTTGTTGCTTTTGCTGCAGTTTGCACAAAGGGTAGCTGACACTAAGCCCAGCCATCTACTATGGTCAACTACTCCTCTCTCCTCAACTCCATCCCTGCATTTCTCCATGTTTCCTATTTTTACAAACCATGTAGTACTACTTCCCCACCTATCCTTGACTCTTTCATGCTCCCTGCTCTACACACCCTCCTCCTGCCCCATGAGAAGCAGGTGATGTCCTGCATCCCACTCAAAGTTCAGGTTACCAGACAAGTCGTGCATCCTGCCAAATCAGCTCAGGAGGTGCTGCCCCTCCCTCCTTTCAGGCAGCATCCCGTTCCCAGCAAGGTAATGACTGTCCAGGTTTGGTTTTGCCCTGGTGATGGTTTTTTTTCCCATAGGAATGAGAGAAGGAAGGAAGGAAGGAAGGAAGGAAGGAAGGAAGGAAGGAAGGAAGGAAGGAAGGAAGGAAGGAAGGAAGGAAGGAAGGAAGGAAGGAAGGAAGGAAGGAAGAAGAAGGAAGGAAGGAAGGAAGGAAGGAAGGAAGGAAGGAAGGAAGGAAGGAAGGAAGGAAGGAAGGAAGGAAGGAAGGAAGGAAGGAAGGAAGGAAGGAAGGAAGGAAGGAAGGAAGGAGGAAGGAATGGAAGGAAGGAAGGAAGGAAGGAAGGAAGGAAGGAAGGAAGGAAGGAAGGAAGGAAGGAAGGAAGGAAGGAAGGAAGGAAGGAAGGAAGGAAGGAAGGAAGGAAGGAAGGAAGGAAGGAAGGAAGGAAGGAAGGAAGGAAGGAAGGAAGGCCCCTAGAGCCACCTACAGATGCTCATTACTACTGTTTCCAACATTTCTTCTGTAATGACACTGCTCAACACCCCAGAGGAGCAGTGAGGCTCCGGGTACAGACAAAATTGTTGATGAAAGGAAGGTGAAAGGAGAACCAGCTCTTCTTACCTTGGGATCAGCAGCTGTTGCCAATTCAAGAGACCCCCTGAAGCTCTCAGTGTTAAGCTGAATGAAGAGGCCTGCGATCGCAGAAGACACAGCGGGGACAAGCCAAAAGTCGGGAAAGCTGTGCAGGCTCGCTGTGGGTCTGTGTGCGGCGTGCCTTCCCTTGCTGGCTAAGGCGGGTCCCTGTTGCCTTCCCGGTCCTTTTTCCAGCTGTTTCCCAAAAGAGAAGGTTTTGGGCAGACTGCTATGTGCTTCGCTCCCCGGGATGGAGACGCAGGAAGCAGAACTCTCCGAGAGGGGCAGCGAAGGGAGAAGCGTGGGGACAGCTCCGGGTCCCGGGCGGGCGCTGGGGCCAGCGGCCAGGGGCCAGGGGCGGGCGGCTGCCCCTCGGCGGCGGCGAGCAGGGTCCTGGCCCCTGGCAGCTCCGGGATGAGCCGCCTCTGCCCGGAGGAAAGGCAGTCAGTCCCCAGGCAGAGGAGAGAGACGACTCTGTTCCCCGGAGAGGATGACAGCGCTCTTCCAGAAGCCTTGTTTTATTTCATGCCTGGGATTTATCGCTCCTCTGCCATTCCGTTCGCCCTGTCCGCCCTCACACCTCAGACAAGCCGCGGAGCCTCTGCGCTGCCCCGCTCCGCTCCGCACCCGGCCGTGCCCGCGCAGGCGGTGGCTGCCAGGCCGGCAAAGGAGGAGCGCGGTCCCCACGCAGGGAGAGCAGAGAGAACTTCACCCCCTTTACTGATGGACGGCAATTTCTAGCTTTGCCTCCCAGGCGTTCCCCGTTTGAATCTGAGCTGTTGTTAAAAAGACACACCACCTGCTCTGTGCTGCCAGCGAGCGGGGAAGGAGGCACAAAGGCGGGGGATGGGAAGAAATAGCTTTGGCTGCGGACATAGAAGAGAAATTAAAATAAATAATCTCTTTTCCCAGGAAGTGCCGGATTCGGGTGCCTCGTGGGAGGACGGACTGAAGTGAATGGTCAGCACATTGAGTGTGTGGGCAGAAAGAGTCCGTACACCCTCCCGTCTCCCAGTGTGCCAGGCTGGAGACGCGGATCCTCCCGGGTTTCTCTTAAGACGAGCTCAAGGACTGGTGCTTATGCATGTACGAAGCCAATGCTCGGTTTCCTGGCTGCTTCCACCTCTGAAGATGGCTTTCTCCGAGCTCAGTCCTCCAGCCTGGCAGGACGAGGCTGTGCCACCACCCCTCCCCAGCCCAAAAATGTGCGACTCCCTCGGCAAGTCAGATCCCGGGGCGCTCAGTGACTGGGAAGTGCGGCGTGTGCTAAAGCGGGTCAAAATTAGGATGCGCCTGGATGCTGCCCCGCGGGTAATTCCCGTTTCCTTCTTTTCTCTACCAGCCGTGCCCGCTGCAGCGAGGACAGCCCGAGAGGTGCGGGCTCTCCCCGGCCGCTCGGGGCGGCTGTCCCCAGCACAGGCACTGAGCGGCTCGCTGAGCCCTCCGCAGCAGCGCTCGGGGCGCTGGGCACCCCCAGAACCTCCCGGCCCGGCCCTCAGCACCACCCAAAGCCGAGCACTAGCCGAAGGAGTTTGAGAGAGAAACCGCGGAGAGGGAAACGGAGAAAGAGGTTGGGGTAAGGATGTATGTGCGTGCGTGTGGGGAAGCCAGATCACTTGTGAATGGCTTGAAAAAATAATTGGGGGGAGGGCGTGGAGATGGGGAAGCGGAAACTTTCCTATAAAACTCAGCAAAAGTCCCTCCTCTCCACGTCAGGCCAATGACACTGCTGCCCCCAAACTTTCCGCCAGCAGGAGCTATAAGAACCTCCAAGTCTTCAACTTTCTCCCAATCCCAGACACCTCGAAGGGGCTCCAAGGAGGGATCGGGAGGGATTTTTTTTTTTTTGTTGGCCTTTTTATTTTTTTGCTCTTGGATCCTGATGCCATCCCCCCTCCCCCCAAAGTGAGGTCCTCCCCCCTTCCTTCCCTCCTCCTTCTCCTCGCAGGCCAGCGAAGCAGCCGATCAAGGGGGAGCTGGCGGGTTAGGTGCCCCCCTCTTCTCCCTGCCCTCCCCCCCCTCCCGGCCCGCTTCTCGCGTCTCCCCCCAGAGATGATGCAGCAGGACGAGGTCAAACTCTCCAGTCTCCCCCGCCGACGACAGCTTGAGCAACAGCGAAGAGGAGCCGGACCGGCAGCAGCTGCCCAACAACAAGAGAGGGGGGCGCAAGCGCCGCTCCAGCCGCCGCAGCGCCGGCGGCGCCGTCGGGGCCGCGGACGAGCCCTGCAGCCCGGCCCAAGGCAAGCGGGGCAAGAAGTGCGGGGCGGGCGGGGGCGGCGGGGGCGGCGGCAGCAGCAGCGGCGGCGGCAGCCCCCAGTCCTACGAGGAGCTGCAGACCCAGCGGGTCATGGCCAACGTGCGGGAGAGGCAGCGCACGCAGTCGCTGAACGAAGCCTTCGCCGCCCTGCGGAAGATCATCCCCACGCTGCCCTCGGACAAGCTGAGCAAGATCCAGACCCTCAAGCTGGCGGCCAGGTACATCGACTTCCTCTACCAGGTCTTACAGAGCGACGAGCTGGACTCCAAGATGGCAAGCTGCAGCTATGTGGCCCACGAGCGGCTCAGCTACGCCTTCTCGGTGTGGAGAATGGAGGGCGCCTGGTCCATGTCCGCATCCCACTAGCAAGCGGCGTCCCCCACCCGCATCCCCCCGGCAGGAGCCCTAGGTAAGACAGGGACCCCGAACCCGGCGGGAGGAAGGGGGGAGGGAGGCCAGAGGCCGCCGGCTGCGCCGTGAGCCGGACACGCGTGGCCGTGGGGCAGAGGGCCCGCAGCCCGCCCGGAGGGGCCTGGCTTCCCGGGGCGGCCGGAGAGCGGGGCGGCCGGAGGTGCCTCCCCCAGCCCGGCCGTCCCTCCTCCTGCGCGGCCCGAGGTGCGCCCCGAGCCCCCGGGGCCCACGCGTGGCCGGGCGCTGCCGGCGGGCTGGGCTGCGGGCGGGACGCTGCGGGGTGTGCCCCAGCCAGATGGGGCCGGCCTGAGATCACTTTTTCACCAAACGCTGCGGAGCCAGCAGGGCTGCTGGGATGGCTCCTGCAGCCGCCGCCGCCGCTGCTGCTGCTGCTCGTATTTTGAAGTGAATCCACGTCCTCCCGTTGTGCTGCCCGATGAGGGTTTCCTACCGCCCTGTCCCTTTCCTCGGCCCTGACACCAGGGACCGCCAGGCTGGGGTGTCACACACACGGTCACCGCACCGCCCGCACGGCGAGCTCTCCCTTCTCCATTCCTGCCCGATACGCGATTTCCAGAGACAGAGAGGTGTAGGTAGATATTTGTGTAACTTTCGTTTCAGTAACGAGTTTTCCGCCCTTTCTGGGTTTTTGCAGATGACATGTTCCCACAGAAGGAGAGAATGGACAATCTAGAGACTCTGAAGTTGGATACGATTTTTTTTTTATCTTTTCTAACAAAAAATGTGCCAAGGATTTCTTGGAAATTAGAAGAGTAAAATCCAAATTCAAAGCAGGGCGTGGGGAGCACTTAAGGAAAGAGAAAGAGAGAAGGGCTTTGGACAGTGACTACCCTCTGGGCGTCGGTACAATCCACACATCTCTGCATTCTGATAGAAGTCTGAATCGTTCGATTTTTATTTTTTATTTTGACGAAGAATGTTGGAATCGAACTTTTTTTGTTTGCCCTTTTATTTTTTTTGCATGCATGCATTCCCAAGAGGTCGTGCTTATGAGCCACTGATGAAAGGAAATACATTATTGTGGACTTTCTCCATTCTTGAATGAAACCAAGCAGCCAACCAAAAATATCCCTGTAGAGATGAAAACCTTTTTTATTTTTTTTTTAAATTTTTTTAGGGGGGAATAAGCTGGGCTCAAACTGTTATATACCCGGTTCCTAACTTTTTTATTATTAATATTTTTCCTCTGAGAAAAAAATAAACATTTTATTTATTTATTGATGACCCATGTTAAAATGCAAATAGATCCGGTGTCTAAATGCATTCCTATTTTTATGATTGTTTTGTAAATATCATTGTATATTATTTTTCTGCAATAAATAAATATGATTGAAATTTTAATAACCCTAAAGTTTGGTCTCTCTGAGAACTCAGGGTTAGAGCTGTAGATAAATACCTGCTTGTTGAGCTGTAAAGACACCCAAGAGAGAGGGGGCACTAGTATAAACAAACCAGGCGAAAAACGCAAATAAACTAGCTACTGACAGACACAGGCACGTTATTTATTGAGACAGCTTTATTATTCTGTGCTGAAGCTCACTGCATCTGCAGAGGAAGGTGTTGTTTCTTCTCTCTTTCTCTCCCTCTCCCTCTTTAATCTTCTCGCCAGGCACGGCGGAGTTGCGCGGGGAGCGGAGTTTTCGCAGCAGCTGAGCTCTATCCCCGCCTTGTGTTTTGCCCCCAGATGTGAGGCAGGAGCGGGGCCTGTTCCCCAGCCCCCGGCGCAGGTACTTTTTGCTGATATCGCTGAGGAAGTGGCATCGGTTTTAAATAGGGATTCGTCCATCCAAAGGGAAAGCAAAAGAAAGTGAGATTGAAATAGGGAAGTGTCTAGCGAGTGGGGTTTTCCGGTGGAAGTGATGTTTGACTGCTCCGCTCTCTAGGGTTTTATATAATATATATACTAGCGATCACATTTTCGTTGTGCAAAGCACGGAGGGATACTCTAACCCCGCCCTCTTCTCATTCTCTACGTGTAGGGCGCACATTGCCCCTCTTTCTTCTCACCACGCTTTCCGCGGGGTCCCAGTATGCGGCGAGAACCCGAGCTGCAAAAGAGAGGGAACCTCCAGATCTGAGGGCTTCGAAGGAAGGTGAAAGGGAAGTCGTAAAAAAACACCCAGAAAACCTGACAACCCAATCCAAACCCCAGCCCCTATAACCGGACAGCTGATTGTCTCTGCTGTCACTCGCTTATCTCCCAGCGCTTGGCAGCCGGGCAGGAGCGGGGAGCGGCGCCTCCTGCCCCTCCGCGGTCCGCGAAAGGTGCGCGGGGAGCGCTGCGGCCCTGGGCGCTGAGCAATGCCCTCCGTGGAGACAGGGACTCCGCTGCCCAGTGTCTGGGGTAAATGGGATGGGGTACTTTTCCAAGACAGAGCCTGTTTGCATAGCCCATGAGTTGACTTTATTTCCTGTATTTGTTTCCACATCCACATATTGCCGTCTGTTACGCACTATTGTGAATATAATATGGGGCATATTTTAAACCGGTGCGCGATGTTAACAGTGGAGAGTTCGCAGCGCTTGTTTGCACTGAAGGATTAGCGAGCACTTGAAAATTAGATGACGGCCCCGGTGGTCGCAGCTCTCAATGATGGAGAGGAGGGGAAGCCGCTGCGAGCTCCCGGAGGGTCGCTGCCTTTCCCCGGCACCCTGGCACCCGCAGCTGCCCTCTCAGAGATTCCGAACCCCCGGCTCCAATGCTGCCGAGGAGCAGGTAAAGTCTGCCCGCGTTACCTCGGCTGCAGCGAAGGCGACAGGCACGGGGAGCCGGCGCAGCTTTGGCAGTGGAGCTAAGGGGATTTGGGAGGTTATAGAAGGTTTCGGTTGTTCCTTTTGGGGAGAAATCACACCGGGGAAAGGTGGGGAAAACTCCTCACATTTAGGAAGAAAACAGGTTCCGGGAATGAAAAAAAACAACCAACCAGACGAGCTGCTCGGTGCTGAAGGGAAGGCGTGTTTCGTGGAAGGGAATTCCTGCGAAATTTGATTGAGGAATCAAGTGCACTTTAAAAGCCACGAATCAAACTGTGCTCGGCTTCAGAAATCGGGAGAGGGCCCGCTTGATGGACTTAAACCTGACTGGCTCTTTTGCAACCGGCAAGAGGCCTCTGGGCCAGGCGGTGCAACACCTTTCCAGCAAGCTCAACACCCGAGTGAGAAAAATCCCCAATTCCTATCCGTGGGGCTCCTGCCACCGGCAGGTCTTCTTTTCTCACTTCTGTGTCCCTCCGAGCGGGTCTCTGCCGGCGCGGCAGTATTCCTGGGCAGCAGGCACTCAGCCGGTGCTCTTTCCCGGCTGACAGCCTCTACCTCTGCCTCATTTTAAAAAAATAAATCATAAAAAATAGATAAACCTGTTTTAAAATTTAGGCGTACCTTCTCCTGTGTTGAAATTGAGGACTGCAGATGCCTGGTACTCCCCGGGCTAGAGCCAAAAACGATTAAGTCAGCGTCAGGCTTACTGAAGGAAAAAAGAAATAATATGTATATTAATTTGCCTTCTGGGAATTTTAAACACTCTTGCAATCGGAAAACTAACTCTGCCTTTAGAAATCCTGATTGATTCCGCTATTTTCTCAGAGGCATCAATCCGTCCCGTTCATTCTCAGGCTGAGAGGTCCGGGCCCGGTCGCATCGGCGGCCGCACGGCCGCGGCGGAGCGGCGGTGCCGGCGCTGCGCCTCCTGCGGGGCGGCGGGCGGGGGGCGCCGGCCGCGGGCCCTCGCACATTCCTGGGCTTGGCAGGGGCCGCCCCGCTGCTTTCTCCAAGCCGGTATCGGATTCCTCCCCGGCGTATGATTTCACTTGAAGTCCTGCCCAGGAGCCCTTCAAAGTGCGCTCTTGTCCCGCTCCCATGATGTCAGGCGGTTTTCCCTGCATCTGTAATTTTAAGAAAAACAAACAAACGCGCCGTGGGGATGTGGGGGGAAACGGAGGGAGAGGGCGGGGGAGCAAAAGTCACGGAAAAGCGCAGGGGGAGAGGGACTCACCTGCGGCGGCGGCAGCTCGGGCACCTGCCTCCCGCGGGGCTCGGCGGCTCCCGGGAACGGGCTCAGCTGCCGGCGCCGGTGCTGCCCCAGTCGCTCTCGGTGGCTGCACCAGCCTGGTTCACACGGCTCTCCCTTCACCTGCCCGCTCCGGCAGGCAGCAGACCCGCCGGGAGAGCGAGAGCGCTCCCGCCATAAATTAGCATCTTTGGGAAGCGGGTGGTGGTGGTGGTGACGGCAAATCCAATCCACCCCGTAAAGGGATCCGGGAGGCTAAAGCAAAAGAAAAAAAAAGAAAGAAAAAGAGGCGCACACATCCACATCCCATCAGAACTTATTTTATTTGCTGCACGCATAACCTGCCCGCAGTAAACATGGCACAGGATGTATTTTACATTAACTTCTGCACCAGCTTCTTTCGACTTCAGTCCACTTAATGTTCTTGGCAAATCAAAGCACGTGTCCTTTGAAGAAGGTGTGTAATTGGAGTTTAAGGCATGTATGGAATTCCCAGATGTCTATAAAGTAAGAAGGAGCATTTGGCAGGTCACTTGAAGGTGGAGCAGGTTAAAATCACTTGTAGAAAAGTCCCCCTTTTCTTTTTTGAAAGCAAACAAGCCGCCATTTATAAGGACCAAGTGATCGACATTGCGGGAGGCTTAGAACGGTTTTACAGAGCAAGAACAATAAAGCTGCGGAAACCTAATGATGATGGTAACACCCGTTTTAAAATCCGAAATAAAACGCAAAGCAAAACTAAATATTCAGATCGACGAAAAAGTTGTCCATTCTCTTAGTAATTCTCTGTCTCCTCCGCCCGCCCGTTCAGGAGCCCTTACGTTGTTCTTATCTACGTACTTGTCTTGTCTTGGTGAGCGGACACTTCCTCACTCTTTTCATAAAGAGGTGACGTTAAATTTGCAGAAACTTTACAAAAATTCTCTTC